TTTTTTTTTTTTTTTTTTTTTTTTTTTTGGTGAAGTGGAAAAGGTCTTTTGAAAATATGTGTGGATTGAGTGAGTGGATCTGGCTTTCCATATAAGCTAATGAGATCACTGGCGTGTACCTATCTGGTTAGATGTAGTGGGGTGACTTGTTGAGGGGAATAATGGAGCTTCGATTAATAATAAATGACCCCGCAATATCTATCCATCCTGATTCCTCGCCAACTTCCAAGGTTGTGATGAAAGGAAGATTGTTTTGTTTATTCGTTTTTTCGTTTCTTTCTTTTTCTCTCTCTCTCTTTGTTTCTTTTGTCGCTTTGTTCGAAAGTAATAAGGTCAATTAATGGATGATGGATGGATGGATGGCCTTTGTGCTATTGTCGGGGAGGGGGGAATTTGAGTTTTGGTTGTTGGGTTATTTCTAATACTATTAGTGTTATGGGGTATGAATGCAGTTGGTTTCTTTTTCTTTTTCTTTTCTTTCGATTTTCTGATGGTTGGCTGGCTACGCAGGTGAGTCTAGCGACTTATAGAGGCGATATATGATTTTTTTCGCTGGGGAGAATGGATTCAATCCCCGGGGAGTTTTGTATCGATGAGTCTCACTGTGCTGTGAGACAGAAGGGAGGGGCACGGAATATTATTATATTGGGGATGAGGGGCGCTCTTACCGTCTGAGGGGGATTATGATCGTAAACTTTCGACAACGTCTACAATTTTTTTATGGAATTCTCGAGATCCAGATGTGTTGGCGTTATTGTTACGACAGATTTGATCAAACTAGTCCGGCATATACATCTTCAATCCGTGGATGTTCTGAGCGAAGCTGGCTGCAAATATATCCTTCATATGAAGAGGGGAGATATCATTTTGGGTTGGTTGAGACTTCATTTCAATTTTCCAGCTGTATGCTCAGATGTCATAGCAATCGTATCATATCAGATCTCGTCAGGTTCTCCCAAAGTTGGAGACTCAATTCAAGCATTTTCACCGTCACTTTCAGAAGCATATTTTACAACTCGGAAGAAACTGGTTAAAGTAAATGTTATTTTAATTTAATAGGAAGAAAGTTTTCTTCATGTTAACTAGAAAATAAAAATCAAACCCAGGGTATCTAATACTTCGAACTAGCAGGAGAAAGAGGAGGAAAAGGATGAAGATATGGACAACACGTCGAGAATGAAGGAGGCTTCGTTCTCGGACTCCATTGCGGACTCTTCAAAACCTCACGGCTTGGCCTTTCCCCGGACCAATCAAGCAACCTCCATCCCCCCTTGGGTTCTCTAAAACGCTTCTTCCATTTCATCTCCTCGATCTTGATCACATTCTCTCCCCTCGCCCTGGCGGCTCGATTGCAGTTTGCACATTTGTTCAAACTCCATAGTTTCACTGCTCTTTTGGAATTCGGACAACGCGGTGTGCGGGTTTGGATTTTGCGGTCTTTGACTTTTTGTAGTTGGAGAGCACAACGTCGAGTGAATGTTGCTGTGTGGTAACAGTCATAATTGGTATGGGTTGTAGAACACATGGTTTTGTTTGTGGTTGTTATTGGTGGTTGTCTGATGATGGGTGTGTGTTATTTGGAAGATTTGGAGTTTTTCTTCTTCTTTTGCTTGGTGGATTTGATACGGTTTTTTCTTATTTGTGAAGGCTGCTTCCTGTATGTGCTGAGTGAATTTTTGCAAAAGCTCTGTACTGGATATGAACAATACCGTTGTTCTCTGCGTCGCTCTTGTACCTCAATTGAACAAAGAAAACAAAGTATGGAACTAAGTCTCGAAAATTACAAAGAAGACAAAGAAACTTTTGATAACGTTCCCCAGGAACAATCTCTTCTTCAAAGGTCTTTGTGATTCTCTTTCTACTCTTTCATTATTAGAAACGATAGCTTTATTTTTAGTTTTGACTAGGAATTTGAGGTATCAGTGTAGATATCACAATTGGGTTGAAGGTTTGAGGATATTGTGATGTTTAGGCCCACGATGTTGCTTGGGGCAAATAGATGGGTGAATTGAAGGAGAACATAATAGGAACAACACTTTCAATCCAGGTATAAATTTGATATTACCCAATTTTCACTCATCACAACTAACAATCAAAACTCAACAACAACAGCAAAAACCCCAACACCACACACACCATTAAACCAAACCCAACAATTACAATTCACCATGTGTAATTTCATCATCACCATCGAGGTGTGCCCCATCTGCAGCAACAGAAAAAGCATGACGACGCACGACGTTCGCTGTGAATCCAACTCCGACACCGTCATCCGCACGCATCCCATACTTTGCAAATCCTACCGCGAACGGGAAAGCACCACGGTGGCCGATTCGCCTTGCATTCGTTGCAGGATAACAAATTCTTCGGGACGGGCCTCCCCGTTACGGGATCCGTTACGGGATTCGGCCCCAGGAACAAGAACCGTCTCGGAGTTGGAAGTTAAGGCCTTTATTGAGAGGATGAAGAAGTCGCTGGAGCGATTTCAGCAGGTAAGACCTTTCTCTCCTCCTACGAAGGAGGAGGAAGACACGAAGGAGCCGGAAGACACGAAGGAGCCGGAAGAAGAGATCTCGAGAGACGAGCACGAGCGTGATGACCCAGACGATGGGTACATCTCGGACGTTTCGGCGCTCTCAGATGCAGATGAAGCAAACCAGGATAACGTCTCGGACGTCTCGGCGCTCTCGGATGCAGATGAAGCAAACCAGGATAACGCCTCGGAAGTCTCCGACGTCTCCGATGCACATGAAGCAGATGAAGCAGATGAAGATAAAGATGAAGACAAAGATGAAGACAAAGACAAAGACGAAGTCTTTTCCGACGACGAGAGATCGCATCATGAAACGAGAACCGAGCAGCTCAGGAGACTTGCCTGGGTGTATGGTGACACGTGAGAGGTCCGATCCGGTCGATCGTTGAAGACTTCTACTCTCCGAGAGAGAAAGTTGTTGAGAGATAAAAGACATAAGACATAAAGACATGACTTTAACTTATGACAGATTGAGTAGATTGAGATGAGCTTAGATTCGCATCTCCCCCATAGCAAATACAATTTTATTTTTAGTTTTTTCCTTGAAAATTTTGTTCCCAATTAAGAGATAATGTATATGGTAAATATGGAATGTATATGGTAAATATGTAAATGTGGATATAAAATGGATACGAAAAGTGATTTTAAAGAACCTGGAATAATGTGACGTCCTAAAAAACGAACGGCTGAAAATCAAGCTTAAAAGGATTGTTCCTTCCCCCTTCCCTTGGATATTTAACAATAAGGTAAAAGGTACTAGACAAATTGGAGCGAAGAGCTAATCCACCTCGAAAGATGAAAGCCCCGATATTTTCGAAACCGAATAGATAAAATTGGTAAGTAAACCCTATTAAACAACCCTATTAAACAACCCTATTAAACAACCCTATTAAACAACCCTATTAAACAACCCTATTAAACAACCCTATTAAACAACCCTATTAAACAACCCTATTTGTCATACACGTCACCTAGGGCATGTGGGAATAGCTTCAGGATCTGTAATCTGATAAAAGAACTATGCTAAAGAGGAAAGGGGTCCTCTTCGGGATCGCTACCTTATATAAAGAGGGTAGCCGTACTAGTATGTTATTCACTATAGGCAGGGCCTATGCATGACACTATTAAACAAAATTGAAAAGAAGGCCAACTTACGCGCACCCCGAACATTTTTAAATATCAGATTTCTCTACCCCAAATAGTTTTGAAATGAAAGTTACGTGATAACACATTTCCTATTTTTTTGTCTGGCCGCACTTAGTGATACTAACAGATATTTCGGGATTCCACATTTGGAAAATGGCACACTTTTCAACCTAACCTATAAATATGAATAAGAATATTTAAGACCACAACCTTCTTTTTTGTATAAAACCGTGATGATTTATTTCAATGGGATACGATATATCTGATGAATCGGATTGGCTTTGATCGATTGGTATATAGATTAAGATGAATCTTCGAGTGAAAATGGTGAACATATTCTCGTTGGTTTTTGGTGTATATAACGGAACCATCCACCGAACCGGCTTTCCCTACCACCCATTGGCACATAGAAAGTTCATTCGTGGGAAGGTAGGTTCAAGAATTTGCGCCTGGTACCCCAAGGGTATTGTTTTGTGTGTGTTTACTATGCATTCATAGAATCACATCACATCCACAAGGGTTTTTCACATGTAGATTCAAAGTAGTCAATGAATAGATGTCCTCTATACTTATTTGGTCACAACGTGTTTGCGTTTTGGGTATCACCTTGGTGGTATTACTAGTGGGCCACTCTATATTGTGAAATAGTATGGATAGTAACATTATAATCGATCATTAGGTTGTCGAGTTGGATCTAGGCGCATGGTCACGTGCCTATACCCACATCTCTCCACGCAAGATACTCCCTTATATCGGAACATGCGTGTCCAGACTCTCTGGACAATGGTTGGCCATTATAAGGGGAGGAAACGAGAAGAACAATATCGGAATAATACCTCATATCTAGGTATAAAACTAATTGGATCCATCAATTCTCAACGTTTAACAATCAAAAACCACTAAAGAAATATCTGGTAAAATCATCTCAAATTCAACCGACTAAGTAGCACCATGTGTTACTGCATCATCACCATCATGGTATGCCCCACTATGGGGTGCCTTGAGACACTTTCCAGCAACACACACGTTCGCTGCCCATCCAATTCCAACCCCACCACGCAAACGGAACCCGCCTGTTGCAGACGCTACAGACGATACTACAACACCGTCGTAGGCGATTCGCCATGTTGGGTCTGCGAGGCGTTCGCAAAGGCCGACTGGCACTCGATTAAGGGCATCATGAAGATGTACCGGAAGTACCAATTTTTGAAGGAGCGAAAGGAGAAACGCATGAAGGATTTGGAAGCCTC